CTGCACTCCAATGAACACAAGCTAATAACTGATGGTTTCTCCTAGCCGTGGCACTGAGCCTTCCTTTCCTGAACACTTGTGGATTTTCACAAAAAGAACATTTGTTCATCGAACCTTCTCAACTTAAATGATCTCTCAGGAATACCAAGATGACTCTGGCTCTTGTCCTTCTTTTCCTTTCAAAAATGGCCATATTTACAACACAGGCCATGACCAGGGAGAATGTGGACTTGTGACTAGTTTGAAGTAGGGGCATGCCGTATTGAACATGAGATCTTCTGGCTGGCAGAGAAGGAAGGGCCCCAAGTGTATTTACAAGTCTAATCCTGGGGTGATTTGAAAATAAGCAGCACACTAGTTTTTCTATTGTTCTCAAGCTCCCACATGAGATTTCTTAGGCTGTCAAGAGAAAGGTGTTCTATAGTTAAAGCCTAGAATACAAGTTTCACTTGGTATTGATGGATCCAATTATAACACTAAAAATGATTCCCTATTTCAACTCCTATGGATATATATTCCTTTCTTCATTTCCAACATTATTGAGATCTTCTTAACTTTTGAATAATATTTTAGCTTTTCCAGCAATTTAACTTCCCTTTGAAAAAGAACCAAAGTCTAAATTCAATGTACCCTTAAAATGTGGTCCTTTTAAATAAAATACAATGTTAATAGACAATGTAAGAGACATTGAAGGGGTGCCCAGACTCATTTTCCCCTTTTCAGTAGTAGTTACATGATCAAATATAATACTAAAAGACTAAATGGTGTGGCTCTTTTATATATATTTAAAACACACAGTAAGAACATAAGAACATCTCAAATCATTTAGAAGGTAAAAGGGGTAATCAACCAAAATCTTTGGAAATTTCAAAAATTTAAGTATCTGCAAACAATCCAACCAAAAAGGAAAAAATCCCAACATTTGGCTATGGAGGGCACTTTACATGTGAACCAAATGGCGTTATAACATTTTCCTTCAGGTAAACTAGTCACTAAATCCCATTAGAAAGAATACAAGAGCAATATTGGAGACATCCCCAAACACCATGTACTCGAGTAGAACATTGTTATGAAATGCTCATCTACCGCGGGCTTTCCTTTACTTTGCATACATCACATTTCTACAGAGCAATGTTGAAACAGCCTCCAAGTCTTGCAAAGTAGTTTGATGTCCATTCTACAAAAATATTTACTTACAGAACATAATGCTGAATAATTTTAATCTGTACATATTTTCCCTCCCATCATAGGTGACACGCGTTAGTCTGTACAAGTCAGGGGGAAAAATCCCATCTGGTTGTTTACATCTGGATGAACAGTCAATAGAGCCAACCAGACTGGTGGGGTGGGTATAGTTTGAGAAAGTATAAATACAGTGTAATATTAATTGTGGTTAACAATATTCAGCCTTTAACAAAGTGATACAAAATAAATCATCTTAAGATTTTTGACTGAAAAGATCTAGCTGAG